CCGAATTGCTTACTATCAAGAGAAAATTTGGCAAGTTATTTCTTCAGGCACCTATGTGGAAACATTTTAAATGAATAATTAAAACAATTATTCATCACGTTGGAAAGATATTTTTCAACCAGTTACTTCTTAAACAACTTGCCTGTCATCCCATTAAATTTGTAGGGAGGGAAATAGGGTGATACCTTATTAGCTATTGGAATAGTAAAATAAATTGCATGAATACAAAGCACGTTCTGGCCTTCTGTCCCTTGTTTGATTCTTTTATAAATTAAAGAAAATATTTTTAATAAAATATAATAAATACCGATTTTATATATACACAAATAGATTCTAAATACCAAATTTTTGAACTTGATCGATAAATTAAAATTTTTTAATACATAAATCAAGTCTATAAAATAATTCGTCTCAATCACTGAGACTATGTCTAATTGTTGATCAATTTAATCAAGTTTCACTATCTTTTGCAAAGATACAAGTATTCTTTCACAATTTACTTCTGACTCAATCTAAGTATTTTTCGTCTTGTCTCTTTAAGCAACTGCTTAAATATTCTTTGAATACAAAGTTTTTCCAGACTTCAATATTCAAATATTCTTTTATAGATAAGCTTCTCCAAGCTTCAAAAATCAAGTATTCTTTTACATTCAAATCTCTCCAAACTCAAAGCAATAACACAAGGTTAAAGTTAGGAAAATAACAATATTGTTTTGTCTTACTATCAAGATGTGGTACAACCAATTAAGTACAAGATTTTTTACAGAATGTATGTAATTGTGTTCATGTAAGTCTCTTTGTGTGAGTCTCTATATTTCTTGAATTTTCAAGCATTTTTACATAGGTGTTTCATGAATATGATCATTGCAAATCCTTAATGGTGTGTTTGGATGAGAAATTTATATAGGGTAATTCATTTATTTGAGGAATTTCAAATTCCTTTAGGTGAAATGCTTTGTTTGGATAGGAAATTTACAAAGAATTTGAAATCTAAGCATTTGTGAAATTCCTTAAAATAGTAGAATTTCAAATTCTCCCAAAAATGGAAGAATTTGAAATTCCTCATATTTATTTTTCTTATTTCACCTATATATTTTATCTTATCTCTTCATTCTTTTAATTATTAGATATTCAAAAATATTTTTAAAATTATTAAATATTATCTTATATTAATTTTTAAAATTATTAAATATTATCTAATATTAATTTTTAAAATTATTAAATATTTAAAAATGGATTAATATTTATTTTTATAAAATTTAATTTAAAAATCTCAACATATAAATATATTTTAAAAATCAATTTTACTATGGTGGAATAAAATTATCATATTCAACCTAACAATTTAAAATTTAAGAAATTTGAATTGACTCATCCAAACAAAATATTTTAAGAATGATAGAAATTGAAATCAAAGTAATTCAAATACCAAGAATTTAAAATTCCTTGAATTTGTAAAGTTCCTTGTCCAAACACACTATAAACGTCTTTCATAGGCTTCCTTCGTCTATCTTCATTTTGCATTCCTTGTGAGAAATGTCTATTGGTGCGATAAATGCAAACATTAAATGTGTTTCACTAAATACTCACTCTTTATCTGATCAAAGAAGCCATGTATCATCTTTTATATACCAAAAGAGAGGAACTATGTGTGTATCAATTTGGAAACATCTTTCTCTGAGATTTCATGCACTTCAAGGGATATGTTGGTCATTTTCTAACGTAAAGCATGACTTTTGTTTCTTTGTGAAGTGTTAATACTAAAAAAGCTTTTTATTTATTTTTATTTGTTAAAGAATATCATAGATATGATCCGATTATCAATCATAATAACTGATATAGGTATAAAGGTTTTTCCTTACAAATAAAGTGTTTTGTTTGAGAGAGTTAATGACAAAATAAATGATGATCTTATTGCTATTCGTCTAATAACTTGATCTGAAAAATTTTTCTCTAGAAAAAAAAAGCGTTTATGTTTGTTATCAATAAGACCTAAAATTTGAGGGATTTAAAATCGTTTTTTGATTTAAAAATCTATATGTATTAAAAAATTTTAATTCAACAATAGGATTGTTAAAATTTGATATAAAACATAAGTTATTAAATTAAATAAGTTTAAGTAGATTTACTTTTTGAAATAAGTGTATCCCTCCTCTCCTCCTCCTCCTCTCTCTCTCTATATATATACATACATACATATGCATACATACATACATACACTTACATATATGCTCACACACAATTATTGTGAAAAAGATAATCAAGAACCCATTATTTTAGAAGAAAAAAAAAACAACCTATAACTAAATATAAGGAGAATTCTTTATTTTTGTATCCATATTATTGTTGACAATTTTAACTTTTAAAATACTGTATAATAATAATAATTAATAAAGATCAAAAAGTCTTTTAATATATTTTTATTTGAATTTTTTAATAATCATTCACTATTTTCGTTAATGTTTTAAGTTCAAAATTTTGTTGCCATAATTGTATAGAAAAAAATAACAATAATTTGAGCCAAATTAAAATTCTCGTTCTTAAGAGTATTTAAACTTTTTTAAACATTCTTTCTTTCACTAATGTCGATGTTGGAGGAAATATGCTCCACTATCCAAAGGAAGAGCAATATCAAAACTCTGACATCCATATTCGTTCATCCAAACCTATATAGATCACAGACAAGTGAAGAAAAGATGGTAAGAAGATTCAATATGCTTATTACAAAACACACCGATCAGCATATCGTGTTAGCATAATACATTTCTTTTCATCAGGTTAGCCAAAAATAGATTAATTATTAGGTTGAAATTCATTAGGTTAGCCATAATACGTTTATTTATGGAGTTGAAAAAAATATGAAAGAAACTGTGTATACATTACCTTGTGTTTGCTGAAGTCAAACTTTAACATTTTAGGCACTTCAATACATGCTATATATATATATATATATATATATATATATAGAGAGAGAGAGAGAAGAGGGATCCATCTACTTTAAAAATAAGTCTATTAAAAATTATTTCATTCAACAACTCATGTTTTATAATAATTAAATAATTAAATTAATAATTATTAATGCATATATTTAATTTAAGTAAATTTAATTTTTGAGTAAATAGATCTCTCATTATATATGTGTATGATATTTATCAGGAATGAGAATATATTAGGTCTTAAATAGGAACTTATGATTTAACCTATTTAAAATATGATATCCTATTTAATTAAAAGGTTAAGTTTAAGATTTTAAAAATACTTATTTATTTAAAAAAGATAGGCTTAAACTTATATATATAAAAAAAAAAGTCTATCTAATAGATCAATATAATATACTAAAAAATAATATACATATTACATTATTAACAATAAATTAAATAAATAAATTTGTAAAACAAAAGAATCAAATTATTAATATATTTATCATTTTTACTAATATAATTAAACATTTTACATTCCTTGTAAATTTAGGAGTCCCATTTTCACATGCTTTTTTTTTCTTTTTAAAAAAATATTTTCTTTCATTACTTGTGTGATATATTAATGTACATAAGTGTGCATGAGTTATCTTTTTAATATTAAATTTTATTTTGAATTTTAAATTTAATAATAATAAGTAAGAATTAAATCTACCTCTTTTTATAATCTTTGTTGACAGCCACTTATATGATATATATTACTCGACTCTCGAGCATAATTATTTTCAGTTAAAGATAACTGTACCTAAAAAAAATTGAGACAGAGAAATAAAAAGTCACAAACCGGTGTTACACTTTTATTACGGGCAAATCTTTTTATGTATAGAGCCAAAACATAAACATGCACAATTGTAAGTACTATATATGACTATATATGAACAAATAAAATTAAATGTGTGCCTTCATCCAATCAATACTAACTGGCCTATCATTCATTTAATTTCCATAGTGAGGAATGATTAGAAGTTGAATTTAACACTTAACACCATTCTAAGATTATAAATAAATGCAAGTAAGAGAAGGCGAAACATAAAAAAACATCTGTAAAAATTAAGGGTTCATGAAAAGGGAAAATGAACATGGCTCTGAGTGACAGCGCCAAACCTTAAAGCGGTTATGGGTGCTTTTCAGAAACTATGTCTCCCACACAATTAAACCTAACTTGTCTGTTTTGCCCATCCAATGGCACGTGCCATCCGTCTACTTTCTTTAGCCTTCCCTATTTATCAAAATCTCTCTCTCCCCCTCATCTACTTCTCTTTCTCCATCTTACATGACTTTGGGCTATTAATTAATGAATTAGTAGCAAGTGAAATTATAACAATGCCCTTTCGTGTTATGTGCCACTTGAGCCCCATCTGCAATCATTATCTGGGGCATTATGGCCATTCCATTGCATCAAAAAGATGGGGTAGTTTGGATCATTGAGATGACTTTGTACTCACCTTATCTTTATTTTATTCCGTAGTTTGCGTTCGTTTCCAAAGGACGTATTCAAATGACAATAAAATCCAACACTTGCTCATGGCATTATAGACATTTCACCTCTCCCAAAATCGAATCCAAACACTTGTAAAACTTTCAGTAAATATTTTCATTAAGACAAAGTTCAATGTTATCTTAATATTCTCTATCTTCATCGACCTCTATATACTCTCCTAGCTGGTAGTATTTTTCCTCTGCTTAAAGGAAAACATTATCAATATCAGACTATAAAAAGTCTTTTTTTTTGTAATTTAAAATATATTTTTGAGACGTGTGCATATAAAAAATTAAATATGTAAATTAAAATGGATATAATTATATCTCATATAAGATACCATTAAATATCAAAACTTGGCAGTTTAGTAAATTCAGTTGGTTATGATTTGTAATTCCAACAACTGTGTTTCTTTTTTCTTGTATAATAAGGTCACAGTCGTCATTTCACAGCATGAGTATTTTCTTTTGTTTACAATTTATTATATCAGATATGTTAATTTTCTGTGATACGGAATAAATGAAAATATAAAAAGACATATTGGTGGGGAAAAATACTAAAGGAAGAGGTGAAAGTTCGAAGAAGAGGAAGAACAGCGACCGCTTCTCTTTCATCTCTCTCACACACTGCGTTTATTTGAGACAGATATGTGAGTCCCCCACGAAGTCTCCATTTTTCAATTTTATAAATTGTGAGCAAGTTCCATCTTTCCTTTTCCACAAGGTGATTGCAAAAACACTCACTGCAAAGAGCAACAAAGATAAAGTAAAGGAGCGAAAGAGAAAGAAAGAGAAGACAGACGACAGAGCGACAACACAGAGAGAGAAAGAGAGAGAGAGTGCGTGTAGGTGTATGTATATGTATGAGAGTGTGCCATATATAGAGAGAGAAGGAATTGAAGAAGCTTTCAATACCACAGAAGGGAAAACGATGTCTGAGAGCTTCACATCCTTTCATACCCTTCAGCTCTAAGAGGTACAATATGTATGTGTGTATGTGTATATATATATATATAATTATATATGTACATGAGATGATGAACAAAGGTGAAAGTGATGAAAGAAGGAAAATTACCATTTAGGTGAGAAGAATATGAGAGGGGCCTATATAAGTTCATTCTTCATCTCTTTCTCTTTCCATTTTATGTCCATGATTTTTGTTCCTATATAATTGACTTCATTTACATGATGTGGTTGTTTGTTCTCAGATTAACTTATTCTGGTGCGATCCATAATCGATTAAATTAGTCACCAGAAGAGAGAGAGGAATAAGAGGATGGTGAATATTATGATGATGATGATGAGCAAGATTTTAACATGGGAATAGCAACACCTTCCTCATCACTTCCTTCCATTCTCTCACACTCAAAGACACACCACCAACAACAACACCATTCGAATTCTATGTCCCAAGATTACCACCATCAAGGAATCTTCAGCTTCCCGAATGGGTTCGAGAGATCGGCTACCACGATGACTCACCAAGACCCTCAACAACAGCAGATTCGGAGGGACAAAGTGAGGGTGCAAGGCTTCGAGCCGCAACCGCCGTTGGTTCCCATCGAAGAAGACGAATCGGGAAGCCTCCCGGTGTACGAAACCGCGGGGATGTTATCGGAGATGTTCAACTTCCCTCCTGGCGCTGCGGAATTGTTGGAACAGCAGCAACAACAACAACAAACAATGACGACGACGTTTCGTTCCACCGCTAGGACTGTGGCCAGTGGTGGCAGTGAGTGGTACGGAAACAGACAAGGGATATTAGCGGGGTTGGGACCGTTGGGAGATTCGAAGAATCATCATCATCATGGCAGTGTGAATAGCCGTGACAGTAGCAGCAGCAGCATAGGTCATCATCACAACCACCATCATCACCATCAGATGTCGAGCATTAATGCAGACTCTGCAGCTGCCATGCAGCTTTTTCTCATGAACCCGCAAACCACTAGATCCCCTTCTCCCCCTCCCCCTCCTCCTCCTTCCTCATCTTCCACGCTCCACATGTTGCTTCCCACTTTCCCTCCTGCCTCAGGAGGCTCTTTTGGCCAATTCACATGGCTCCCCGACACGGTTCAAGAAGGAGGACCAAGTACTGTCGTGGAAGGCCCGGGCCAGACCCACGGGCATGGTCAGGGCCTTTCCTTGTCGCTGTCCTCTTCCTTGGAAGCCGCCAAGGCGGAGGAACTAAGGATGGGGGACAGTGGATTTTTGTACTACAATCAAGCAAGTGGAGGACCCTCTTCTTACAAGAGTCTTGGGGGTCATCACCACCAGGCATTGTTGGCGCAGAACCACCAGGGACATGTCGGGTTTGGGGGGGCGGCGGCGGCCACATCATCTTTGGGTGTGGTGAATGCGTTGAGGAATTCAAAGTATGTCAAGGCTGCTCAAGAGTTGCTTGAAGAGTTTTGCAGTGTTGGGAGGGGGCAGTTCAAGAAGAGCAAGTTCAACAGGCAACTATCAAACCCTAGTTCCAATCTTGGAGGCAGTGGCGGTGGTGGCGGTGGCGGTGCTTCTTCGTCTTCATCAAAGGATGTTCCTCCTTTGTCAGCCGCTGATAGAATTGAGCATCAAAGGAGGAAGGTCAAACTTCTAACTATGCTTGACGAGGCATGTAATCTTTCTCTCTCTCTCTATTCTCTTCTTACCCTCTCTCATTCTACAAGAGTCAAGGTCTCCTCCCAATATATTTTTTTTCTTTTAATTATTATTTTTATATAGTCTATTAATAAAATTCAGTCCTCCAGCGAGTATCTAAACTTCAACAAAATGAAAAGCCGGCTGCTATAGTAGGGTTCCACTCCTTAGGATCATTTGGTGAGAATTTGATGGTTATTTTAATCGTGACTCAATTTTTTAATCTCCCAATCCCATTGGTGGGAAGATCTTTAGAGTCTTTTCAGTTATATTTTTTAGCACTGAAAAAATATATAGTTTGGTGAAAGTGCGAAACCGGGACACTACCATTATAGGAGAATACGTCCATCAAGAAGCGACGTTTCTTCTGATTATTAAGACTCACCAAACAGATGGAAGGCAATCACCAATCATATATATTATTGCATAGCAAGTTGTTATAAATTCCAGTGCCCCCTCAGATCCATACCCATCATAGTAATATTGCAGTGAAAGCCATTATTCATATCTCCGGGGAGGGATATAGAGAGAACAGTCTTTTCTCTTTCTTAATTTTCTTAGTTTAATTTTTCCATAACTGTTTTTCTACATGGAAAGAAACACAAGTTCATTCTTCATTAGCATTCACCGTACTGTGCATAGCAACAACTCCCTAGCCTTTTCTTTAATTAAGAAAAAAAGATGTCATATGTATCATATTCTACACACACGTGTGTTATTGTTTCACTATTTGCATGAGTGAATTAACTCCCATGTATCGTATTCTTAATTAAACCACTCAAGTACCCATTTCTTTGCCTAATTAATGTCGGTTAGTTCACCCAGCTTTTCACAAACCGCTCAATGAATACGAGTAATGAGAGCATGCATGCACTGTCACAGGTGGTTCTTTTTCTTTCAAAATTGCACGGTATTAGTAATTAGTAATTAATAGCCAACCATTACATGATTCATTGAAATGTTTCAACTTTGTTGTGCTGTGAATAACAAAAGGCTCTTGGGGTTTGGCAGGTGGATCGGAGATACAGCCACTACTGCGAGCAAATGCACATGGTGGTGAACTCATTCGACATGGTGATGGGTTTTGGCGCTGCGGTGCCATACACTGCGCTAGCGCAGAAAGCAATGTCTCGTCACTTTAGGTGTCTGAAGGATGCGATAACAGCACAGCTGAAGCATAGTTGTGAGGTGTTGGGAGAGAAAGATGGGGCAGGGAACTCAGGCTTGACAAAAGGAGAGACCCCAAGGCTCAAGTTGCTCGAACAAAGTTTGAGACAACAAAGAGCGTTTCATCAAATGGGGATGATGGAACAGGAAGCTTGGAGACCCCAGAGAGGGTTGCCAGAACGATCTGTCAACATTTTAAGAGCGTGGCTTTTCGAGCATTTCCTTCATCCGTACGTTCTTTCACTTTCTCTCTCTCTCATTATTAGATGCATATATAAAACAAGTCATTCTTAGAATTGACATATGAGTATATATCTTCTTGCTTTTTATTTTTGGTTGGTTATATCTTTTTAACTTGAGGTGTAAATTTAGGAAGAGGAAAATGTGGTTGAAATGTCTGTTGGAAAATAAGTGAATCCTCGTGGTGTTAATATGTATATTTAGGGTTAAGATAACTACTACACGAGTAGGATAGTTCAGCATTGTGAGGAGGGTTCTATTTTGAATGTGTAAACTTATTTTAATAATCTATAGATCAAAAGAGTTACATATAGTTTCTTCTAATTGTGACTTGGGAAATAGTATCTCTAAATGGAAAGAAATTATATAGGTAGGATGTGGTCTAATTTAGCATAGATAATTAGGGGAGAAAAGTGGTACGTTAGAATTACGAGAGGAGAAAAGGGAGTTAATGATTGCGAGACTGTGAAGGAGAGGGACAGTGAGACATAATGACATTTAATTTTAAATTCTGAAAAAGCATTACACACAATACGATATATAGATACTGGGATCCATAACCGGAAAAAAGTAGCAGTGCTTCCGTTAATTAACAAAGAGGGAAAAAAGAGTCGCAGAGGGAAAGACCGAAAGAGGGAATCTAAAAGCCATTATGCATAGGATCGTTTGGAACAGTCATTAATACTGCAGACTCCTTGGGATGCATGTAAGCTGGACAGCAAAAAGCTGTAAAAAGATAGATGTGCATGTATGTAGGCATCTATTTTTTTTACTGCAATTTCTTGTTACCCTCTTTCTCTCTCACTGTCATCAACATAGTGTATAAAGTTTATGTCCATTTTATCTTAATAGATACATTAATTTCAACATTGTAACCACTTCATTAATTCTTCTTGTTTTTCTTTCTTTCTTGTCACAATATCACATAATAATGGAAATAAGTAGTGTGCATCATCAGGTCTTCAAACTATATGACTATTATTGTAATTTTTATAGATTAAAAAATTTATACTTTTTTTTATGTGGGGGTGTCATGCATCATTTTCCAAATACATGCTAGATGAGTCCTAACTACCAAAAGAAGGTTTTGAACATAAGTATATGGTGTTAGAATTTGACATGGGATTATCCCTAGAAGAGTGAAGGCGAAGGCAGTTATGTGGGATAAAGAAAGTAGAGAGAGTAGTGGTCAGTGTGTACAGCGATCTACTTTACTTCTGCAATGGCAGCTAGGACGTAGATCTTTCTTTGTTTCTCTTAGATTCTCACGCCCACGAAGGGACAGAAAGAAAGGTTTCATACTCAGAAAGCTGGGTGTCTCTTTATACGGTTAAGGCGAGGACTCTGATGTCATTTTCTGGTCTCTTTCTCAGGTACCCAAGCGATGCAGATAAGCATCTGTTGGCACGACAGACTGGGCTATCGAGAAATCAGGTTCGTCCCCTCCACTCTTAGCTTTCCACAATAGAAAGAGAAAGAGACAATTTTTGTGTTGTAGCACAGTAATAATAATTAATTACATGCACGGACCACATACATGGTATAAGAAAAAAAAGAAAAATTGAAGAGAAGGGACCAGCAGTAAGTTCAGATGCAACTTGCATGGTTTTGGGGTTTGTTTCTTTGGTTCTCTTCTCTCTTTCTCTTTCCTTTACAGAAAGACAACCACCAACCTGGGTTTAATCGTTTCCTTCCTCTAAAAAAAATAATTTACTGTTTTAATATTCTTCGGATTCTTTTCCTTCTTGACATAAATTATGAAATGAAGATGTTCCTTTGTGACATAAATTCTTAAATTGAAAGAGCAGGCATAAGTACATAAGCAATGAGACATGGAAGTTTTGCTGTTTTGCTGTTTTTCTCAATTTTAAAAAAATAAATGAAATTATGGTGTTTTGGAATCTCGCTCTCTCCCTGCCACTAATTTTCTCTCTCATATCAATTGGCTTCACTTCTCCCAACTACACAAGGGGGACCATAAATAGGGGAAATAAATAATCTTTTGGAGATATCATAATTTGGTCGTGGTAAATTCCATACATGTTTAATTATACTTTCCATACTCAGCTAGTTGTTGATGCCATCTTATGTATTCATGCAACTTTGTCTGGCAATTCACTATGTGGATTTACTTTTCTTTACTTGCATGATCAGCTAGTTTAGAACATCACACTCTCATAAGATAAGGCCTATTCTTGATTTTGGCACGTTCTATCTGAATCATTAATGTCTTGTACACAAAACTGTCAGAGACATAAGACATAACAAAACTATGTCCCCAGGCCCTCCACAATGATATATACAAATATAGTATCCATAATTTTCATTAAACAGTACTCTCTGCTGTATATTTTCTTAATGGATTTTGTACATCTGAGATTCTGCATTAACAGTGTACCTTATATTTTCCCTGAACAACCAAAATCCAAAAGCTACTGCTACATTTTAGTGTACATCTAATTAGCGATGAAAGGGAAATCGCATACCTATTACATTCATGCCCACACCCTATATGAGTCAGTGAAATGAGGAAGGAATACAAAGTCTAGAGTCTATAGATACATTTGGTCATACTTAGCACTGTCCCTAGCTTCTAAGAAGAAACTGCTGATAAATAGGTTTGTCTGTTAGAGTCTATAGCATATATAATTGCATTATCATTCATATATGTCATTTCGCTTTCCTGTATGTCACACCACTGAGAAGATATTTCATGGCCTAATCACAGTCTATCATAGAGGGACAAACGGCAATGAGTTAGAAAGCAATCTTTTCCGTTTCCTATTTTACTTACCTATATAAAAGATGATATTGCTGAATGATTAATATACATGAAATCTGCTAACTTCTCCTAACTTTTTTTTTTTTTTTTTAAAAGAGCAAGTTAATAAAATATAGTTACAATTTTTTTTAAAGTGTACTGGAGTATTGCTAAATTATTACTTCTAACAAAATAAATAGTTGTAAATTAACAAGTATTTATGGAGATTGTTAATGTATATCCAAAATTTTTTTTAAAAATATAGTATATTAGCAAATTTTAGCAACAAAATATTTTAAAATAATTTATGTATAATTTGCTAATTTACTCTTAAAAAAATAAGTAGATATAAGTTAGAAAATCACACACACACACATATATATATATATATATATATATATATATA